AAGGAATTAATATCAAGATATGTAGATAGAAGTCAACCGGTTGGCATTAGGAGCCGAAACTGGAACGTTGTCCACCTTTACTGACATATTTGGTGCATGCACCATATAATTCCTTTACATTATTTTACTCATTTAGGGATTCTTTTTCTATAATCTTTTGTCATTTACTTAATTAGTTAATTTTATCTATCATATTATTTGGCATTTATTATTATTATTTTTTTTTTGCTATTGTATGTTATTTTGTTTGCTATTTAAAATCTTTTACATATATATATATATATATATATATATATATATATATATATATATATATATATAGTTTTTTAGGTCTATTATTTGATATTTATTAATGTTATATTATTTTTGTTGAATCTCGGATTTTGATGATGAAGTCAATTGTAATTTGTTTGATCTAATCTATATGTTGAGAAAAGTATGCAGGATTAACTATGATGGCAGTAAGACATAAGCGCAAAGATCGAGATTTCATTGGGAGTCAAGATCGAGATCTCATTGGGAGTTCGAGAGTTCGACGGAAGTCCAAACGTTCATTGGAGGTTCTATTGGAACCAACCGAAAAGTCTAGGAGCTTGCCATAGAAGCTCGTCGGAACTCACCAAGAAGATCGTCGCAAAGTCGAGAAGCTTGCCGGGAGTCCGTCGGAGCATTACCGAGAGTTTGTCGGATGTTCGCCGGAAGTACGTCGGAAGCTCGCTGGAAGAGCAATTGACGCACCGGAACAAGAAGTACAGTAAACATGTCTTAATTGTCATAGTTAGAGCGTAAATTAAGTTAGGATTGGGAGGTAATCCCACTAACTTAATTAGGGACCAATTGGGCCCTTAACAGGACTGAATTGGGCTGAATTGAGCACCTAATTCGACCCTTGAATTCTTGGCCGACGGTGGCACCGCTTGGAAAGCAGTGCCCCAGGAAATCTAGGTGGTGGTACCGTCGGTAGTTATTGCTGCCAGCGGTAGTATCACCCCTGTCAAGCGGTGGTATCACTAGATCTCGGTCTCTGAGCTCTGTCAAGCGGTGGTACCGCCCAGACTGAGCGGTAGTACCACTCAGTGTCAGGTGTCAGGCGGTGGTACCGCTAGGACCACGAAAATATGGGATTATACTAAAAAGGTTTAGGTATCAAGCAACTAAGTAATGATATCTTTCTTAGTTAAACAAAATACACTTTAGATTTACTAAAAAGGTTTAATATGGATAGCTCAAAAGCTATCAATACTCCCATGAGTACCTCCACTAAGTTAGACATTGATGAAAGTGGAGAAAGCTTTGATTAAAAAGCTTATAGGGGTATGATAGGAAGTCTACTATACCTCACCGCAACTAAACCGGATATCATGTTTAGTATAGGTCTTTGTACTAGGTTTCAATCTAATCCTAAGATATCTCATCTTAAAGCAGTTAATAGAATTCTTAGATATCTTAAAGGTACCACTAATCTAGGATTATGGTATCCAAAATCTGAGAACTTTGAAATAATTGCATATACTGATGCAGATTTTGTTGGATATAGATTAGATAGAAAAAGCACATCCGGAACATGTCAGTTTTTAGGACACGCACTTGTCTCTTGGTCATCTAAGAAACAAAACTCGGTTACACTATCTACAACCGAAGCTGAGTATATTGCAGCTACTGCATGTTGTGCACAAGTTGTGTAGATGAAAAACACTTTAGAAGATTATAAGATTCATCTAAAAAATATTCCCATAAAATGTGATAACACAAGTGCAATATGTTTAATAAAGAATCCCATTCAACACTCTAGAACAAAACATATTGATATTAGGCATCACTTTATATGAGATCATGTCACTAATCATGATGTAATCTTAGAGTTTATTGATACGAAACATCAATTAGCTGATTTCTTTATAAAACCTTTAAGTGAAGAACAATATGATTTTATTAGAAGAGAA